GACACTCAGTGTCTTTCTAGATCTTACCAAGGCTTTTGACTGCGTCGACCACAGTATCCTCTTGTCAAAATTAGAACACTACGGTGTTCGAGGTGTTCCGTTGCATTGGATAAAATCTTACCTTTCAAACAGAACTCAACAGGTGCAGGTCTCAAATCATCTTTCAAAACCAGCTCTGTTAAAGTATGGTGTCCCGCAGGGATCTATTCTTGGCCCAATTTTATTTTTAATTTACGTTAACGATCTGTCTTCAGCATCTGGATCTAGCGAATTGGTTCAGTATGCTGATGACACGACTCTCTGTTGCAGTGCCAACAATCTTCCAAATCTAGAAATCAAAACTTTTGTAGATCTAAATTCATGTGTTCAATTTTTTGAAAACATCAATTTGAAAATAAATTCTCAAAAAACAAATTTCATCCGTTTTTACAGGCACGGTGAACCAAGTGAGACTGTAACGGTCATGATTGATGACTCACAAATTGAACAAGTCAATTCTTTTAAGTTTCTGGGCATCACCATTGACCGGGGGCTCACTTGGAGTAACCACCTTGACAACGTCTGCACGAGGGTATCTTCAGGCTGTTTTGCCTTAAGAGTCCTCTCAAACTTTTGTCCAGAAAATGTCTTGCTAATGGCCTACTTTGGCCTTATTTACCCCCATCTTTCTTATGGAATTGCAATTTGGGGTGGATGTGCAGAAGCGGACTTCCACAGGTTGTTCCGTCTTCAAAAGAGAGCACTCAGAATAGTGGCTAAACTACAGGTGAGAGAGTCTTGTAGGGCCGTCTTCAGGGAGCTAGGCCTGCTTACTCTTGCCTCTCTGTATATCTTGGAAGCTGCCACGTTTTCTAAATTTAAATGCAGCCTAACACAAGGCCAGGACATTCACTCGTATTCAACTAGAGGCAGAGAACAATATAGGTTGGCCCAAAACAGGTCCCGTGCAGCCTCAAGCTTGCCCTCTCAGACGGGGGTGAGATTTTTGAATAGTCTTCCTGAACAAATAAGGAAAGAAAGGAACGAAAAAAGGTTCAAACGGATTTTAAAAAGATATCTGATTAATAAAGAATATTACACTGTGGGTGAGTTTTTTGACACTAATGAGTAGATGGTGTTCGGCTGCTCTGAGGTTCTAAATCAATCAAATGACAAGTTCTGTGTAATTTTTTAATCATGCGTATTATTAACTGTTTTATGCTGTTGTATTTGTTTGTTTTGCTGTCGCTTGTTATACCTGTATTAAATGTTGACGGATGCCATGCAATTTTATATTTGTTTCACGGCAATAAAGATATTATTATTATTATTATATTATTATTATTATTATTATTATTATTAGGTGGCGACACCCTTGACTCAATTGAGGTTCCGGGAAGAACCCCCCACACTCAAGATAACCATACCGTCCGTGCTCAGAGACAGGGATAGGTTTGCATAAGTACCTACAAACCGTTGCCCTCACACTGCGGAAAGTTACGTTGCCCTTGAGTGTCCCCGTGAGCTGCGGGTACTTGCCCGTTTTCACCTCCAGGAAAGGTTACTTCCAAAGTCGAGGATTTGCCCACTGAATGCTGGTCGCACACCACAAGCAGGCCGAAGCCCAAAGTACCACAGACACAGGTAGGTTAGAGATTATGATGTACTTCCATCTCTCCTAGAGCTAAACACCCCTCCATCCTGGATAAAGGAATGTCACTGGGACCCGATGCCCAGTCGACCATGTCTGTGGCCAACTTGAAAATGCCGATACCAACACGGAGCATTTACCTCCCCTCTGGGGGCTAGGTATTTCACCTCCCAGGACGAGGCTACTTCCAAAGTCGAGGATATGCCTCACAAAATGTCAGTCGAACACAACAGGTAGGACTCAGTCACAACCACAGTTACAGGTAGATGAGGAGAGGCGGAATTAACGGCGTCACTGAGAGCTAAACACCCCCCCCACCCTGAATGGAGGGAATGTCACTGGAGGCTCCCCCTAAGGGGCTGGCGCTTACCAGTCGTCCATAACTGTGGTCTACCTGAAGTGCCGGGTCTGACACCGGGCAGTTACCTCCCCTCTGGGAGAGCTAGGGTCCGCGTGGTCGCCCAGGCCACGAACCCACGCAAGCGTGAGCCCCCTGCGGTTAGTACTTCAGGCAGTTTAATTTTTAAATTTGACAGAATTATTGATTTCAAAGTGATTCACAATGGTTCCCAACACACGTTTGGAGAACAAACTCCATCGCCACCTGACCTTTCAAAAGGGCGAGCGTTCATTCATCTCCAATTGAAGTTTTTCATTTTCTTAAAATCCATATTCTTTTTTTCGCTGCAACATCCTCACATAAGTGTTTGTTATTAGGTGATTAATCATTTATCAAGTTTGCCAACAATTTAAACGACTTAGGAAATTACCTGAGTATGTTTAAATAAAAAAAAAAAAAAAACAATTTAGCGAAATGTGCGTACTACATGAGGGTTGAAGTACTAAAAATGTTGTCGACAACGTGGCATTGAACTCTTATAATACAGCTTGAAGCAATTGGTTTGTCCTTGTAATAAAAAAAAAAAACATGGAAATTACTTCAACAGCTTTTTGTGAGTTGGGACAAAATATATCTTTAAACGGATCAACAGATTTAGATGGTCATTGTTTTACAAACACCCAATCTATACATTTCAAAGACAAGTACTAAGCCTACCACCCTTCAAAATAATGAACAAAATATTTCCACTTCAAGGTTCTACAAATCTGGAAAGATATATTTCCACTCTTATCCTCGCCGTAAGAACATAATAATTTTCAGACCTTGTATCCAACTTAACCAATTCAAACCAATTAAAACACCAGACAACGTGTCAGATGGAGTTTACGTGGTAGACGAGCTACATCATGTTTTCTGTCGACACATCAACACAATACGAACGATCACAATAAGATACAGAAGTGCATGGTACTTTAGAATTGATTGAAGATTGTATTCATGTCAGTTACATGTATATAGACACATCAATACACAGACATACCGTATCTGGACTATCAGTTCAGTTATAATGGCCAGAAGACATAAGATACATTTGCATAAGGGACTATAGTGATTTGAGCTTAGTCAAACCATGTACTAAGATATAAAACTGATAATTAGACCAATTCGTATATACCAAGGCAAAAATTTGGTTCGAATTCCACTATAAACTGTAGGTCCCTTATTTGCTATTAGCTGTATGGGCTATTAATTAACAGCTGTGTCTAAGGAATGTCGGCCTTAGTCACTAACAAGACTACAAGATCGCGCCTCATCCTACACTCATCTACATTCATACTTGGCTTAAAATACCTACTTTGTATGGTATCCATTTAATAAGAAAGTATTAAAAAATAATATACAACAATATACAGGACCTTAAAAATGATGTGAGGTCATGAAATTAAGATGTATATAATGTAGACACATGAATATTATACAGGATACACTGTATCTAGACTATCAGCTTAGTCTCGACGACCAAAAGACGTAAGATGTATAGAAGGGACTATGTATAGTGATTTCAGCATAGCCAGGCCATGAACTAAGATATAAAAATAAAACAGAACAATATATGTCCTTGAAAATGTGTAGTCATAAAACACAAAGCTTGAGGTCATGAGAATTATGGACCGGATTAGAGGAAGGTTTTGTTTGGTCTCCCTATTGGTATACAAAACTCAACAAAGTGGATTCTCATAAAAAAAAACGAGATGAAATACTGACTACACATGGTGGAAGGATAAAATGTTTTGTTGAGGGTAGAACGATTAATTTAAGCATATATTTCCATGAGTATTTTGAAATTGTAAACTATTAAAAAAAACTGTATTGTACCATTTCAATTTAATTTATGAATTCATAAAATAATTAATACGTAGTTCAAAATTGAAAATTCTCAGTTATCCTACTTAATATTATAAATGAGAAAGTTTAGATGTATGGATGTATGGATGTATGGATGTATGTTTGTGACAAGTGAACGCGAAAAATACTGGTCGGATTGGGCTGAAATTTGGCATGATGATAGCTCACATTCCCCATTAACATATAGGCATATTCTTATTTCAAAAATCCTTTCGGGCTCCGCCCCAGTGGCTCTGGAGTTTCCCATGTTAACCTTATGAGAAATGAAATTATTGAATCTTAACAGCTGTTTCAATTAAACAAGTTGGTTCTGTTCTGTGATGTTCAATAGCATTAAAGTTACAAAAATTACTAACAGGGTGCAGCACTATTATTTCTTTTACATTTATGACAACAGCTAATTTGCAACCAAAAGGTGAGTGAGCGTAGCGAACGAACTTCAACCTGGAGGCGAGTTAGCGTAGCGAACGAGCTAACCTGAAGGCAAGTGAGCGCAGCGAACGAGCTCAAACTAAAGGTGAGTGAGCGTAGCGAACAAGCTCCAACCTAAAGGTGAGTGAGCGTAGCGAACAAACTTCAACCAGGACGTGATTGAGCAATGCGAACGAGATAATCTTGAAAATTAAGAAGTTAAACGGGGCAAAGCCCGCGGGTTACAGCTAGTATCACATAATAACAAGTGGTTAAGTTACTAATATGGATACTCCGAGGCACAGGGAACACACAATATAACTAGCCAACTCCTTTACAATTGAAAAAGTTGAAATGTACCATATACGGAAGAAATCGTCGATCCCGTAAACTAAGGTGCACAATGTTGACTTTTAAATTGTTGTTTTACTTATAAGATTTTGACTGTCTCTCTAATATGGTGATTTCATATTCAATCTTGTCGAATGAACCCAGAGTCTAATATTTTGAAGCTATAAACACACGAATTTAGTTGCCTTATAGACAAATATTTAAGACTTGTCATTCAAAATTAAATTTAAGACCTCACATTCTTATTCAGAGCACTCACTGATACAAACACATGTTAGAAACTAATCTTTAAATAAATATCTCACTCCAGAAAATCTCATTCAGCAAAACTAATATAAGATGACTGTATATTGTCCATACCTTAAGTCCTTTGCATATCTGCTTGGCAGTATGCCAAGTGACCTCTGGATAGCTGACGAAGAGGTAACAAGAGTTGTTGAACACCTGAAGTCTGTCATCCCCGCACTCCGCATTGGCTGAAACATTCACGATCATTGGTTGATTGTAGGAATGGTATTAGTGATCCATTTCAGATGGTTTCTACGTACATATAAGTGTCTCTAGATGAAAAATAGAATAAGGCATGTTTACAGGTAACCAGACCGTTAATGAGTTCTTTATTTGTTTAGTAGAATCTATTATTCTTAAACTGGTGCATAATTCTTTTGGAATTGACAGTTGAAGGCTATTTACCTCATCTTAACAGTTCCATTGGTTGATAATTTGAAAAAGTGTCGCTACAGCTGCGGTTTTATGAGTTCAGTCGATAAAAAATTTAATTTTTTCGTTTATATAGAAGTCGTCTGTTCCGTCAAAAACACTACATAATGTCAATGTTAATTTTCCTTGTCGTGAATCTAAGGAAATTGTTGGAACGAGGAAATAAGCCTGTATTAGTAATATATACAGTAACAATGCCTAATATTTGAATTCTAAGGAATATTGGTGAATTAAAAGTATCTAATATAAAAAAATGTAATTCATTTTAATTTTTTGGACTAAAGTTATGAATATTGTGTGTCAGTTTTTATTTATTCACTGTTTTATAAGTTAAAGCGTTTGTTGGTAGATTAAAAATATTTAAACGTATTCATAATGGAACGTACTAAAAATCTATGTTGTGTTATGACTGAAAAAACTATGCAAATCGAATTGGAGGGGCTTACAATTACCTATACAAAATTTATTTTAGCCAGAAAGAACTTTAAAACATTATTATTAAATAGCATATTTTCCTTGACCTTTCGTTTACAAACAACAGTTTCAACTACTTCTATAGACTAAAATAGTTGTCTACAAACTCTAAACTAAAATGTATTATGACAACTACAATTTATTAACTACATCTAATAACACTGAAGAGAGAGTTACATTCTAATAGAGAGAAAGCGTTTAACAGTACTAAGATAATATTCTATCATGACCTTCTCTAACTGCGAAACCCGCCAAAAAGCAGAACAAGAAGTAATACTAAAATGCTGCGCTAGAAGCTGAAACTCAAAGTGTATTGATACATTTTGTAATAAAAACTCATTTTGAGATAAGTAGAAAAGTATATAATGCTTATGACTGAGTCATTTTCAATTTCATAGATCTATAAAATTTTGTCATGTTTTGAATATTTTTTTACTCGTTTTACTGGTTATTTCATAGTTATTTGTATGAATTATAGCAATTTAATTGAGTCGCGTTAATGAAAAGAGAGCTACACGTTACAACACAATACTGTTTATAATACAATAGCATCAATACACCTGATACAAAGAAAACTCCGCAAACCAAGACCGTTTTTAACTTACCCTCATTACTTGCTAACACTAAGCAGCAAAACAAAAAGAAACACATAAACAGACACCGGGCAAGGCAAACATCACAACAACATCGTCCATTGCAATAATGTTACGTAGAATCATAAAACCTCCAAAGAAGTATCCGTCAAATAAACTAACCACAGTAATCGTTTCGGACATATAACTAACTATCGACAATCGGTCTTACTCACATAAAAACATAACCTAAACTATAGAAAAATCGATGTAAAATAATGTTAATGCATTAACACAATACCTACAGTCTAAAAACTCTTAACACATACATACACCATCTATATAAAAAAAACAATAAAATTCGATAGTGAAAATTCACCAATGAAAAAAAACAACTAATAACTTAATCATCTGGTAAAGTAAACAACAACTATCATCCTCACCATACATCTGCCATAAGAAACTCAACAGAAAAAACCTCAACTTCATTATCCAGAGTGCAGAACAATTAGGTCGATATCGCTTGTATTTTATTATTTTATTCCCCTGATTTCAAAACGAAGTACTGATGCAATACAAATAAATATACATAAAAAAGAAATACCAAGAAACCCGGTTAAGTTCGTAATAGTAACCCAACCCCATTTTTCATAATGTACTGAAACAATGTTGTAAACAAACTGGACACTTCACATTCGCTTTGTCCATTTTTGCGAGACTATTTGTTACCGGCTTGAAAACTCGCCACCCTTCAAAATTTTATTGTTTGTACAGTCATTGTTTCTACTTAATGATCTCAGTATAATATTTTATAAAAAGAAAGTTAAGGAAAACAACAGCTAAAACAGTACTTAACATAGGGAGTCTTTTTGTATTGACAAACAGGAAATTAAACAGTGAAAAACTCATGCAATACACCAGTAGATAATTCTTTTGAATTATCTACAAGATTCCCGTACGTAGAACGGGCAAACAGCTTGTAGTGTATAAACAATGAATACTCTTGTACTTTAATAATCTATATTTACGAATAACAGTAAATTACGTCAATAAAAATGGTAGTGGTTTTGGTAATATAGTAAATATACAAACCAAAACTTAGTTTACAATATTTATTGTGTTTACACATTTCTTAAATTTTATTTTTATAAAATAATATTTCCAAAACATCAAATAAGATTCTACCAAATTTTCGAAGTTGGTTTATCTGATTTTTAGACGGACATTGTGAATTCAGTAAAAGCTATACAATCGGTTTACTGTTTCCTTATCAACATATTATTTGAAATCATCGAGTTATCTATATATGGGGTGTGTATGTAGGGAAACCCTGAGTGTATAACATAAAATGGTATATTAAAATTGTAATTGGTTTAATTGGTAATGCTATTATCTCTATTACACAGCAATATATTTCCTGGCCGAGATCAAAAAATTTTTATCGAACATAGTAAAGACAAATCTACATAGATATTGCACAAAGACATGATGAATTAGTATATCTATAAAAAAACATTTGAGCGTTGTTTTTAATAAACGATAGTTCGATTTAAATTATCCTTGTCTGAAGATATACAGCAATTTAAAACCGTACAAATAAATTTTCATGTATAAGTACAGAACTAGTTTCGAGGAATAACACGTGTTCTACATAGAAATACAAAATTAATGATGTCTGTTGAAGAAGTTCTTTGTTTCTGGCGTTGAATGCGTCACCACGTCTTCTCACCATACAACTCTAGTACAAAAGAAGTACGACGTGCTGGGATTAATTTGACATCCGTTCATGAGAGCTTGTGTGATTTACAAAACATCAACATGTAAACACGTATGATACAGTTATACATCGTAGGGGTTTAATGGTTTGAATTAACAGACAAGAAAAGTTAAGTTAAAACTTCATGTTGTGTTGTTTATTCCGAATCACGTTGACAATAATATTGTAAAAAGGTTAAAATACCTGTAACTGTCTCGTGATTCCCTCGCTCCTATACTGGACTACGCGCGTTTCGGTTAGCATACCGCAAATAAATATGTATAAATATGTTAAATCTTCAGGTCACAAAACTTGAAGAAACTTAACCATTCTTGAATTGGTCGAGACAAAGTTCATAAAAATCACACAAAACATTTAAAAGGGGGCAAAAACTGTAGGCCCACAGACACTGGTGTACACATGACGGGTGCGGAGTCTCGACTGGTTCAGGAGCTGAACTTTGTCCCTCGGCCGCCTTTATCATAGTAAGAACTCAAAAAAGTCAAAACGAATATGATACCGAAAAATTAGCTATAGCTGAATAGGCACACTTCAGCTAACCACCGTGGGCTAAACGATTCTAGTAGTTATGGTGCACAACTTTCTTCTAAGTTAGCATTGATTTCTCATTAACAAGATTTTTGTTTGTTCTAATAAGCCTAGCTGCTTAGTATGTTAAATAGCTTACAGTTGATGAGGGCAATCTATATAAATAAAATTAGAGTTTTGTCTGTACATTGCTCAGAATTATATACTTTTAGGTTATTTTTACGTTTTATACATTAAAGAAGCAGAAACGAGTCTTATCTCAATTTCTGTCTGTCTGTCTGTCTGTCTGTCTGTCCCTTTGTCTGTAACACTCAAGATGGCATTTTACGCAATCTTCTCCGTGAAAACCAGAGTACATATCAAGATCCAAGTCATTTTAATGTATTCGCTGGATTGGCGAGAGTGTCTTTAGTGATTTAAATATAGCCTCACTACTTTGTAAATAAAATTACGGACGTTCAAAAATGCAGTTTTGTGCGATTTTTGTCAAATTTTCTTTCAACTTTTATGACATAATCGTCTATGAAATAACGAACAGCTGTTCGGATCAAGATTATTTTTTCTAGCTGTCAATGACATGTTTACAAATGTTGTTTACAAATACCGCAACTATTTCGAATCACGTTTTGAAAGCAAATCCTAACCAAGTGGGATTAAAAACGTTTTTCTTACATAACGGATTTAATTAATCGCAAGTGCAATAATATAGTCTAATAGTGTAACCGTAAATGAAATTAAATAACTAGACATCGTCCAAATCGGAACCATAAATTCTTTGAGTATAAAATGTTTCTTGAGTTTTGACAACCAGAAAGAAGAAGACCTTGAATCAGTGTTGTATAGGGCTGGACACTGAAATGATCGTCGCCAATAGCTTACAAAAAAGGTTTCCACTCATTGACGGCGCTTCAATGGCGGTTGTGTAAAGTGTAAAGTAAAAAATCACAACTGCAGTGGGTGATTGTAACAGAGGTTTAACAGAGGAAGTGCTAAACTCGCTTTTCCAATGTGTCACTTTCTGTTTCTACTCACCGTGTGATGCAATCGCTGGACCATACAGCCAATAGGCCCATAGCTCATATCTTGGGTACGTAAGCCTACATATTTATTCATAACAACCTTTTTGACGACGATCCTTGATACCGGTACTTTTCCATAGAAGACATGGCCTACCTACTTAAAAAATAAAATTACAAATGACCAAAACCCAACATTCTGTGATTTTCGTCACATTTCCTTCTAATGTTAATAGATATACTAATCATTGTTTATAGAATGCGTAATCTATTAGGCCTAAATAACAAAAAGTTGTTTGGGTAAGGTTGCTTTTTTTTCAAACTGACACCGATAAGTTTACGCTATAACTTTTTACGAGAAAATCCAAAAGCAAGAGATCAATAACCTC